CCCTCGGCCGCGGCGCGTCGGCGAGAGACAGGCCGAGCAGCTCCGCGGGCCGCTGTAGAGTGCAGCTGCCTGCATTGGAGTGGCAGAAGTGCTGCCGGGGGGCGCGCGTATGTAAAGTATGTTGAGAGCGTATGTAAAGTATGTTGAGAGCGCGTTGAGCGGACCAGTATGAGCGGCTGCCTCTCTCAGTCTCGCGTGCATTGACCATTGTCCACTGATCTGCATGTTAACTGCAATTTGGAATGCAATATTTGGACGGGAATTTGCCGTATGTGTCGCCGGCCGCGCGACCGCTCGGTCGCGTCGGCCGGCGGGCGTTTTTTTGCGTTGGGAGACCAGACCGTTTTGAGTAACCGGGGAGAGCGCCGGTGGCATCTCTTTCCACCCAAGAAGCCCGTTTGGAGGGATGGGCGGCAGTGTGCGGGCGGTGAGTGCTAGTCCTCTCATCAATTTAGAACGAAACGCCCCTCCCTCCCTTCTTCCCTCTACTAGCTTCTAGCTGAGGGGCTCGCTAAACGCTCGCCGAGCTCCATGCTGTGCAACACCACCTCCTCACTAATCGTCAGGGGCGCGGAGAGCGCAGTGCACTACGGTGAGGCTGCGCAGCGGGGGCTCACCCCCTGCACCGCGCTCAGCGCGGCGCAGGGGAGGGCGGTCGGTGGCGGCGGCGGCGAGGCGCGAGGCGGTGGCGGCGGTGGTGCGGGCGGCGGGATGACAGGGGAGGCGGCGGGATTGACAGGGGAGGCGGCGGTCACGAGCGGAGCGGCGCGAGAAGGGGGGGGGGGCGGCGGCGAGGCGCCGGTGAGCGAGGCGCCCGCGCCATCAGAGGGACGCGCCGCTGCGAGATGGAGGGCGGCGGTGACGGAGGCGAGGCGCGAGGCGGCGGCGGCGGCGGCGGCGGCGGCGGCGGGTCTCGGTGAGCGGCGGCGGGAGGAGGAGCAGCGGCGGCGGGAGGAGGAGCAAGCGGCGGCGCTCGCTCACTGTTGACGGGAGCGCTTTTGAGCCTGGGAGCCCATGCCACTGCGACCGGCGTGCCCGGGAACGGAGATCGCGCGCGCGCCGCCACTCACGACGCGCGCGCGATCTTCGCGGAGTCGGGTCCCCAGAGGGAAGCGGTCTTCTCGGCCGACGTCCAGCGGCGCGCAAGGAAGCAGGCGCAGCGGAGGCGGCCTAGCACCGGCTCGGCGCCGGGCGGTTGCGCTGCCCGCGAGCCGCGTCCTGAGCCTCGGCAGCGCGCTGCGCGGCGCGGCGCTCGCGCTGCTTCTGTGCCGAGAGCGGCGATTCGCCAGCTGAAGCTCCAGACTCCTCGGGTCCGCGAGTTGCACGATTTGCGCAGGTTGAAGGAAAATTGGCGTAAGCGTCTGAAAGCAGTCTTGGGTGGTTCGCCCGCACACACACACACACACACACACACACACACACCTCACCCACGCGCACCGGGCCTTGCACTTTTAATCCGTGGTGCTCTA